TTTTCAGCAAGTGACTAAGCATACAATCCCCAATATGGTCAATCATTTTGTCATCCACCCAACATGATAATGAAATACATAGATTATCAGCAATTAATTTTTCGCAACATAGTTACAATTTTGAATCAAAATAGAAAAAAATGATGTGTTTAAAAATCCAGGCATCATGGTATGGTTAATCAAAATAAAAGTTTTTTTTTGCAACTTTTACTCCAGCTCATTTCCAAATAAAACTTTCTGATACTTTAACTCTCAGAAGTGACTAACAGGTAACCTCTCCCAGTAATATTCATATGTTTTCTAGCAAATGGTTAATGAGAATACTCAAACTTATCAAGAGGAAGTTTTTATCTTGATCTTGCACCAAATTCTTATCACTAATTTATAAGGAATTGAATAGCAGCAAGAGGAGAGAATTAACAATCAGATCTTGCAAGTTAAAGGATTGACAGTTTACTGATAATGCTGTACTTTTATTTCCAGCAGGGTTTACTGTGTCACAAGGATCTCTTTCTTTAGTTGTATGATCATTGTCATTCCTTCCCTCGTCGCTCACTAAGTCATGTAGCTTAGCTGTTTATGATAAAATTATGGAATTTGAATAATCGCCATTAAAAACAATAGTTAGTACAATCAATTTCAAACTTCCTAAGGAAGTATTAAGGTTTGTGGCAAACTTAAGCTATGGGAGGTCATTTTGATGGTTATCTATGTTTTAAGGGAAAAGGATTCGAAAGTGCTTAGGATGCAATACAACGCATAAGACGCATTCCATTGCGTCCAAGTAAAATTTTACACCGGTTTTATGGTTTTTAGCACGTTTCCCAAATAGCCGAGAAAATGTTTACTAATTATCGTTGTTGACCAAGTAATTCGTTTCTATCTCATGCACAACCCCTGTTGATCAACTTTCCACAACAAGTAACGCCATTCAAGCCAAAGATTGATCGCTTAGTTGTAAGAAACGTTCTACCAAAGGTATCCTGTAAATTCTCCTTAATCCGATACACGATAGAAAAGCTTACCTTCAGGCTCAATTCTGTCGGTTGTAATTGAAAAATCCTGAATTCTCCGCGAGAGATCCACTCTGCCGATTGTCTCAAATATATTCTGTAGCAAAGTCAAATTTGTTGGGCCAATTTTGTCATCTTTCTGTAGAGCAGTAAACAACTGCAGCCCACTTCCTGTATTTTCTATTATCCCCGAGGGAAGAAAGTCCTCCGCAGCAGATACTAACTTTTCCAGATCTTTGGTAGATAGTGCATTCGATAGCTCTATGAGCAACTTCCCGTAAGAAATTATGCGGTACTCTTCTCGTGCTGTGGCCATTTTCGTGGTAATCTATTCTGAAGAGGTAAGCATATTTTTTCCGCGTTGTACTTAAGCGCTTCCGCTCTATGGTTCGCAGTGGTTCCCAGTTCTCACCGGGATCTAGCAAACTCACTTACAAGGTTGTTTTGAGCGTAGTAAGAATTGTAATTTATGTCTTTCATGTTTTAATTGTCATTTATTATTAATATTTTAATTATCACCATGATTGTTATTATCATTTTTGTATCTAGTTTGCTTTACCATTTTTTTTAATATCTAATATTTTTCTTTTAGTTGTGAACAGGACTTCGACTTCAAGATAAGAAGTGACGACTATGGCTGCAAACAGTAGTGGTTCCATTTTGTTCTCACGGTGAGAGTCTTCATGGCAGAGAAATTACTGAGGGTACCTTATAATTCCCTGAATGTTTTTTCACCAATTTACTAGTAATGTTCTTGCATTGTTCACGTAGAAACATTAGTTTACTTCATGTGACTTACCCGGAGTCAGATCGAAAAACCACATTAATTGCACATGAGTCGGGTTAGGGGTGACTGTCACGGGTGTTTACCTCAATTTACATACTGCTCAACGTTCCGATTTCACTTCAAAGCCGGCAAGGAAATGTGTTCTACATCTGATAATCAAGGAGGCCGAACAATCGACGACAAATTTAGAGAAAGTCTTCTGCGATCTCTTAACGAACTGAGGCAAGCTTGCATTCTTTGTGACGTTCTCATTCGTGTTGACAAAACGTTGGAGTTTCCTGCTCACCGTTGTGTTTTGGCCGCAGGCAGCGTTTATTTTCAAGCTTTGTTCTCGGATGATTTTCGTGAGAGAAAGAGCGGCGTGGTGGAGCTGGAAGGTATATATGGCATGGAAAAAGTCCTTGAATTTCTCTATACGGGTGAGGTGGAGATAAATGAATCCAATGCTCAAGATTTAGTCATGGCTGCCGATTACCTGAATATTCCAGCCTTAAAATTTCATGCTGCTGTTGCGTTAGAAAAGTTCATCAACATCTCAAATTGTCTCTCCCTACAGAGGTTTTCCACTAAGTTCGACTGTGCTCTGTTGAAAGAATCGTGCACTTTCTTCACAAATCAAAACTATTCTATGGTAACAAAATCGGAAGCGTTCAAAGAATTGAGTTTCGAGGCGCTCATTAGGTTACTCAAGAGTGACGAGCTTAATGTTCACAACGAAAGCGAAGTGCTCTGTTCTGCGCTCTCCTGGATAAGGTACGATCTTCAGTCGAGGGAGAAACTGCTTCTTGAAGTTCTAAAACATGTTCGGTTTCCGCTTATCCGCAAGGATTATTTGATCAACATTGTTAAGTGTGATGTGTTGCTTCGAAGTAACGCAGTCGAAGTGAACGTTTTACTGAAAACAATCAAACAAACTTCCTCGGCGTCAGAGAAATTTCGAGAACTGCATGTGCCAAGAACTGGACCTCTCGAGACAGTGGTAGCATTGACAGGTGGAAGATCAGTGTCGAAGTATGGCTCAAACAACAGTGTTTTGGCGTACATACCGTTGCGTGACTCATGGGTAACGCTATCTAATCTTCACATTCCGCGACACGGTCACAGTGCTGCTGTCTGCCAAGGTTCTTTGTACTTAGTGGGAGGAGTATGTAGAAATGTCTCAGCTCATTCCCACGTGTGTCGATTTAGCCCTCTCAGGAATAAATGGTACTGCGATGTAGCGGATCTTCCTCACCCAGTTTCATTTGCTGCCGTTGTGTCATTAGATGAGAAGTTGTTTGTTATTGGCGGCAAAGACTGCTGCAATACGGCACTTCGTAGAACACAATGTTACAACCGAGAGCACAATCAATGGCATTTTGTTGCAGACTTGAACTTACCACGTGACAGCCATTGTGCAACAGTATTAAATGATTCTATCTACGTCATCAGCGGAGACAAAGAGAATTTTAAAAGCTGCGAAAGATACGACTCGACCATTATGAGATGGAACCTTCTCCCGGACATGACCATGTCACGCCAACAACCTGCAGTTCATGCACTTCGCGGGAAAGTCTTGGTAGTTGGCGGTTATGCTGGTTCAAATTATAGCATGCGCACAACCTGCGAGATCTTTGACCCTAAGAAGTTCCAGTGGAGCTTGGTACCTGGACTTGGTGTACCACGTGCGGGATGTGGAATCACGTGCGTGGCAGATCACGTGTATGTGTTTGGCGGGTCGAATGGCCGATCTATCTTAAACACGTTAGACAGTGTTGAGTGTTACAACGAAGAAGACAAGGAGTGGAGAAAAATCTCGGTTATACCAGAGACTATCGTCGCCCCCCAAGTGGCTGTTTTTAGGATG